TCCTGAGCTAAGCAAAAAGAGAATTGTCCCCAGGTTGCTCTTCCATTATTCCTAGTCACTCTACAGTGAGCTGAGCAGAGCCCTCAGAAGCAGGTAGTCCACCTGGCAATTTTTTGGTGGTGTGGAGCACAAGGAGCAAATAGCAAAAACAATTGTAATTCTACCATATAACAATATATAACATATACCAATGCATATAACAATGCGGAATGCATTAATCCAAAGAGTTTAAAGATAATATATTTGTTTGTAATGTTGTGCCACAAATGGGAGCACAACTCTTACAGAGAAGGGAGTTTCCCTCAAACATAGTATGGGATTTAAAGTAGCACTCCCTCAAACAACTTGAAAATTCAAAATAAATGTTGCCTTGAATATTAAAGCACTTCAGGTTAGGCTGAGAAGGCTTCCCTTGTTAACTGAGCCCTCCTATTGATGATAATGCTCGCGTTTGCTATAGAGTAGCATGTATCAAGTTGAAACATTGTCACAGAAAATCATTTAATGAGTTACTTTGAAATGTAGCGATGGTGATGCAGGTAAACGTGGCATTTTATCTGTACCAACAATACCCCACAATGCCATGTTAATGAGGTGACTGACCAAATTGGTGAATTTGGATGAGGGAGGAGGATTGGCCAGGATACTTGGAGACTCATTGTTTTTCTGCAATATAATGAAATAGGAGAAACAGTAGGGAATAAGATATCATAATAGAAAGATCAATAAAATTGAACAGTACAAGAATTGTTCCTTATTTAACTTCTTGGAGGAGGAAGATGGGAATGGAATCTATCGGCAGCTGTGATGCGGAGATCCAATTTGATCATGAAACATGATTCAAGTATTGCAAATGGATGCAATCTAACTTGAAAGCTCTCCACCTACGGTTTGGACTCATCCAGTATTGATTCCCGTTCAGTTTGGCTGGACTACTAGCAGAATCAAAAAAGAAACTATTTTGCGTTCCTTTAATAAGGTCATAAATCTTCGGCAAATAGAGATGGAGCAGTAATGGGTGACTGACTATAAGCCATTAAACAAGTAACTGAAAGATCATCATTCTTCAATTTAGCAAAAGCAATAGAGATGTTCAGTGACAGAGATGAAATTGTCTGTTTGCTCAGTGTTATTGATTTTAACTGCACTGGCTGGCTGATGAAAGCAAAATATCGAATAAAAAGCTTCAAACTGCAAGCTGCTTAACACTACAAGCAATGGAGACATGTAATAGAACCGAAACAACCCTGTATGAATATGACAAAATGCCACAATTACCACGAGCTGGTTTGGCAGTAAGGAAGTGGGAAATGGAACCTGTCAAACACACCAGATAGCAGTGAAGCCTTTTAGCACAGTGTGACTGATAACTTCTCAAAATATCAACTGATTCTCTCTGAAGAAGTCTTAGCAAAGCCAAAGATGTGCGGTTTCCCCTGGAGCTCAGGAAAATGGTATAAATGCTACTCACTTCTCAGCGGGGTTCACCTTACCTGTTTATTAGCGTGTCAGCTAGCCTCCATTTGTACCATTCTCGCCAATATCTCAGTTGATGAATCCAAGCTCCACATCAGGACCTGAGATCATCATCTAGACTGACAATGCCTTTGATAGATTCCACTAAATTTAAATCAAAAATATTTTAATTAAATGTTTACTTTTTTTATCTCATAGAAGAAGTATATTTCACTGAGTCACCTCATAATCTTAAACATATCCACACTGATGCTGTTGTCTTGTAGTTGTTGTTGGTTGATACTTTAGTTTGGACTTACTGGTTAGAGGTAGCTGGGGAGCTAGGCTTTTTGTGTAGAACCCGTATCCTGCACTGCACCATCAGGACATTCTCCCTCGTGATGCAATGAATAGAAACAGTGAATACGGAACAGAATTCCCCATTCATGATGGAGCAGAACTTCATGATGTCACACAAGAAGGGATTTTGTGCAAAACATTGGTTCTAAGACAGCTTCTAACCAGGCAGTTCACCATTGTAACAAAGCGCCAGTAAGTATGCAGCGAATTCCTACTAGGTATTGTGAGATAATTCAATAGAATACATTTTCCCTGTAATTACATGTGTGTATAAATTTTAAATGGCTAAGTGGATTGTCCAACTCATGATGAAGACTTTCATCACTAAATGGTTAAATCTGGATAAAACATACCCATGACATGTTTTTGTATTGTGTGCTAAACATTAGGATAACTATGCTAACTAAATGTTAAATCTGCATAACACTCACTACACTTTAAAGTAACTCTTTTTATCAATCACTTTGAAGTGTGTTAACATTAAATGCAAGTATTATTTAACTTTGAGAATAATTTTTCCTTTACATAATTCTTTCCTATTTATTTCAACATTGATAGTGCAAAGAACTAGGAAGTGGCATTGGCCCTTAGGCTGGATTTCTAATTTTATCCCTCAAGTTGAAGGCAGAGATGACTTTTTTGTATCTTGTCCAGGAATACCCATGAGGTGCTAGAAAAGCCTCCCATATATGGTAGCAATTTTCAAACCTTTGCAGAGTGGAAGAGTTTTTGAGGAAAAGACATATTTGGCACAAACAAGTAAACTAAACTTATTGGCAGCAGCTTTAGCAACAGGGATGTGGGAATCTATCTGATCAGAGAAAGCAGTAAGACTAACTATCTCATTAGAAGAAAAAGATTAAGAATGATGTATTTGAAAAAAAAATTATCTACGGGTTCAATTTACAGTATTTATGGGCCTCTTTAATAAGAAATCCAACTTGTGCAAATGGGGACTCCTTCTAATAACAATAACAATCCTTGCATTTGATGTAGCGTTTTTCACATCTATAGACGTCTCAAAGCACTTCACAGAATAGACTGTAAAGTGAATTGACTGTATATTTTGTGGGCGAAATGCGGCAGCCAATTGCGCACAGCAGTGTCCCACAAACAGTTGTGGATTGAAATGACCAATTTATTATTGTTTTGTTTTGAAGGGATTATTATTAGACATGTGGAGTAAGGAAACTTGCCCAAGGTTTCGCCCTGCCTGGAATTGAACTCGGGTCTCTCGCTTACAAAGCGAGTGCTCTAACCACTGAGCTACAGGACTCCAATAACTGCATGTTCCAGTACAATGTACTTCTGGAGCAGAGTTCCTATAGGTTGACAAAAATTAAGGAATCATGTAAACAAATACCGCATTTTAGATCCTCTTTAAGTGGGGTCTCCTTGGAGCTGAACTGGCTCCAAAGTAACATGTCTGGCAATGGAATGTCGGAATTGGTAGTCCTGTTCCTGAGTCAGACAGGTCCGCAGTATCCCAGGGCACTGCTGATGATAGCACGGCCAGCCTGGCGCATCGGAAGGACCTGGAAGGACAGACTAGTTACTGGAGGCAGGGAGTCATCCCACTCAGCTCCTGTTAACCCTGGAAGCTAAAGCCCTAATGTGTAGTGTGGTCCTAGCTGGACAAGCAGCGGAAAAGCTTGCCAGACAGCAGTATCAATGGCAAGCTATGTGGTTTTATTTGGTTAGATTCCAGAAGTACCCCAACACACACTCTGGGATCCCCAAGCCTTGGCTCTTGCCAACCTAATACTTACCAGAATTAGGTAAGCAGGATGCATTCCTCCAGGGATAGAGTGCGCTTTCCATTCCAACAATCTGTCTCTGGGATTTACATGTGTGGGTGGGATGCATGAAAATCTTAGCTTGGTTTGGATACTCTTAAACATTGTGATGGGTTTCTGCATGTGTCAGACACCCAGCTGACCCCCCAAAAATAGACCCTCTTGCTGAAAGAAACACAATTTTCATTGCCCTTGAAATGGAATGAAGGGTTTAGTGATTCAGCCATGACACGCTAAGATGACTGAAGTTGCGAAGCAATTGAAAGAAACTTTTACGCTACATGATGAGCTTAAATGGGTAGCTTATGTATTTTTCTATTTGAGAATTTCTCTCACTTCCTATTATATCTCTTATTGTCTCGTTAATATTTCAAGGAAAACCATTTGTATTCTAATACATGGATTTGTGGGTGACATATTAGTTAATATACTGAATTGTATTATTTACTTTTTATGAGAAAAAGTGCCAGATGATTGTCACTTGTTCGCACTTTTCATCTGGAATCCAATGATTGGTGCATCACACAATAACAAAGTTCAGAACGCTTGATACTTGGCTGTGAGTCAGCTATTGAAATGTAAAATGTGAAAAGAAATTGATTCAATAACTAAAACAAATAATTGAATAAATCTTTAACCATTTGGTCCATTCTATTTGCATATAATCCAATATAAAGTTATGTTGGATGTATTTAGGACCACTGAACTTGTGCAATTCAAAGCTTCTCACCAATGATGGTCTCTCTGACCAATAATGTCAGCTCACAGAGTTGTAGGTGTTTTTCACAGACTATTCAACTTATACTATATTAACTTTCAGACTGTAGAATGTCACATTGATTCTGCTTTCCTTCCCAAGGTTTATCAGACTTTCTTTCAACCTTAAGTCGACTCTTCCAACCATAGGTATAAAATATATGGCATAGACTGTACCAAGATGTTCTACCCATTGGATCAAAGAGACATTTTTCCAAGGAATGTCAGTTGAATATATTAGCTACCGAGTAGCAGAGTGATCACATCATAAAACAGAACAGCCAGAAATGACAAACCTGGCAAAGGTTCACGACACAATAGGAGGGCGTGTGTGTGAGAAGGGAGTGGTTTCAGTTGTGGGAAATAAAATCCCTTTCCACGATGTATCGAGTATTTGGGGTATCCCCATTTGCAAGAGTATTATAGTCCAAAGTGCATTTCTCATCTGAACCTCTTATCATTTAAATAGTTTGCACCCAGTTGCATTTTTCTTTAATGTATCATCTCTTTCACAAAAATATTAGAAACAAAGAGATGTTAAAAGTTCATTATAATTCTTTATATCTGATTTTAGAAACTATTCTGATGGCCAGAATTTCTTTAGTAGAAAACAAATTTCCATTTATTTTTCAGAGTGAAAATAAGTTTGTTTTAGGATTAAGCTCAAGAAAGGATCAAAACGTTACTACTGCGAACAAAGTTGGCCAACATGTGACTGAGAAGATAAAATTAGAAGACGATGATTATTACAAGGCATCTAGTTCCAACAGAGGAGCTCAACCGAGTAAAGATGTGTTGTTCCTGAAGGATTTGAATGGTACTGATGGGTCCCAACATCCTGATCTGAAGCTTCCTATAACTTTACATGCCCTCCCACCTGGGATCAAATTTCAGCTTCAAGGCTCTTCTTCTACATGTGATGTGGTAAAATTTGCCAAATTGCCTGGACAATTAGCACCAAGCAACCTAAGTGACATCAGGCTGCAGACACAAGTGGATCCTTCTATGAAGATCAATACTATAAATGTTCCCCTTACTGTCCCTCCTACAGATGCAGGTACCACTTTATCCTTGGGTCTATTTTTGTTTATGTGGTAGAAAACAAATGCTCTTTGGACTTCCATTAAATCTTGTGCCTAGAGTGGATTGCTGTTGGTAACTTTATGTCAAAAGGAGTTTGGGATCAGTTAAAATAACTCTTATGCATTAATAATTATTAATGTTGCCAGGTTTTTGTGTATCTCAATTGGTGAATGTAATATTTATATTTAATAGATTACCCATTGATTGCACATTATGTATGGGTAGTGATTGATTCTTATGAGACACTAAGAGCATAATCATTTATATAGTCCACATACCTTTGATATGAGTTGTAGCAGAGATATATAGATATCTAGCATTCTGAAGTCCGTGACTGGAATTTGTGTTTCTTGAAAGGCTTTTAAAACCCTGATGGTGAGATAACTGATAGAAAATTTAGATAGATTCTTACTTAGTGTTAACAAATAAAACTGTTTGGTAAATTTTAGACGTATAGAATTCTTAATAATAATACTAAAAAGCAGTTATTAAAAATACTTAGTTCCACACACTGGTATGTCGCTCAAACCAAGCAGTGATTATCATGTAAGAGGCTGGATACTGAACACTACCAGAATATTTGAGTGGAGGAAGGGTAGATCTCAGTTGATGCTGTCTTACCCAAGATCTATATACACTGAATTCTAATTAACAGGATAATAATAATCCTTGCATTTGATATAGCACCTTATTATGTCACAGGGACATCCCAATGGATTTGGCTATAAAAATACATAGTGACTATGTATTTTAATAGGCAAGTAAGGTAGTCATTTTGCTGAAAGTAATGTTCCACAAACAGCCAAGAATGTTCTTCCCATATTCAAGAAGGGTGACGAGGCTAAACCTGGCAACTATAAACCCATTAATCTGATCCAATAATAGGACAAATTATGGAATCAATCATCAGAAAGGAAGTGGAATAGGAGTGCCTGTGTAAAATAATCTAATAAAATAATCTAATAATTGACAGCCAACATGGATTCTTGTCTGACCAATCTCATAGACCTATTTGAAGATGTGACAGCCCAAATTAACTGTGGGAAGCTATATGATTAGTATATCTAGACTTCCAAAAGTTTCACAAAGTACCTCATGAAAGATTCCTCTACAAACTGTGGACACTGGGTATCAAGGGCATGACGTGGAGGTGAAGACATGGATTCTGAAGGGAAGGAAGTAGAAGGTCTTTTTGTAAGAGGAGCTAGGTCAAAATGGGGAGAGGCACTAAGCAGGGTACTTCAGGCGTATGTACTGGGACCTATTTTATTCCTTATATAGATGACCCAGCTCCTTACACAGCCAGTGGACAATTGTTAAGTGTGCAGATGATACAAAGTTGGGGGATCCATAAAAGCACCAAGAGTCCTACAAAGAGAGCTTGTTAGGATATGCACATGGTAAATTAAGTTGAATATTAATACATACAAGGCACTGCACTATATATAGGAAACACAAGTACTCCATGGGGTCAAATGTGCCAAGGGAGCAGCTGAAAGAGATCTAGGGGTGTTAGCTCAACTCATTAAGCAATATAGCCCAACATCCTGTCTGCCTTGCTTGTTGCTGCCTCACACTGCTTTGACATAGTGAGTGATAACAAGGCTAACACTGACATTCTTTCAACATTTATTCTTTAAACATTAATTACTGTTCCTCTTGTACCAAAACATACCTTGTTAATGTTTGTAAAACCTTATTTAGGCTTGACATTCTATATTCTATTTTCACTAGTAATGCTAACATTTTTGTCAGTTGCTGCACCGTTTTCTCATTGAAGCCTTCTGTATCCTAAAGAGTACAGACAAGCTAGCTACCACAACCTTTTTCAGTATGTTCCATAATGAGGACTATGGTCTTAAACTCAGAAGAGGGCGGGTGAATAGAGAGCTTAGGTTTAATTACTTTATGAACAGGGTAAACCACATGCGAATAGTTTAGTTTCAAGCAGAAATTGAATAGATTTTTGTTGAGTATTGGAGGTACCTGGGCGGGAGAGTGAAAATAAGACAGGCAGATGAACTATACTTGTCTCTGCCAATCCTAATTTCCTTCCTTTCCTACTGTTTCAGAAATCAATGATATGCCACCCTCCAAAGATAGAAGTGGGCATATAAAACGTCCAATGAATGCATTTATGGTTTGGGCACGAATCCACAGGCCATCACTAGCCAAGGCTAACCCTAACGCTAACAATGCTGAAATTAGCGTCCAACTCGGACTGGAATGGAACAAACTGACAGAAGAACAGAAGAAACCTTACTATGATGAAGCACAGAAGATTAAAGAAAAACACAGGGAGGAATTTCCTGGTAAGCTAAATGCCATTTGCATTATTAACTAATTTGCGATATCCAGATTTGGATTTGTCACAGTAGCAGTCTAAAAAAAAATATGGGAGGCGATTATTCATTAGGTACTCCCTATCTATCCTACATAATTACTGGTATTCAGAAATATAAGAACATAAGAATTAGGAGCAGGAGTAGGCCATTCGGCCCCTCGAGCCTGTGCCCCGCCATTTGATAAGATCATGGCTGATCTTCAGACCTAACTCTAATTACCTGCCCTATCCCCATATCCCCTTAATCCCTCTATATTTTAAGAAACTATCAGTCTCAGCTTGAAGATGTTCAAGGACTGAGCATCTACAGCCTTCTGGGGTAGTGAATTCCATAAATTCATACAGTTGCAGCAAGACTTCCCTACTCTTGTACTCTAAACCTTTTGCAATGAACGCTAACATGCCGTTCGCCTTCTTAGTTGCTGCTGCACCTGCAAACTAACTTTTTGAGACTGATGTACAAGGACACCCAAATCCCTCTGAACACTAACACTATCTAATCTCTCCCCCTCTAGAAAATAATCTGAGAGAAAATAGTAAATATGAATGATGACATTATAATATATCATAATGAAAAATATGACATCACTAGACAATTTAAGTCAATGTTGCTCGCCTTCAAGAAAACTGACTTTGCCCATAATTTCCCATTTGAAGTTAAACAAGTGTACATCTCCAAATAATATTTGTTATTCGAATGCATACTTAAAGAGTCACATTCTAAAAGGATACAGAGAAATGGGATTAGATGGGATTAGAATAGATCATTCCAAGTGGAGGCGCTAGCACCAGTCTGGTATCGATGAGCCAAATAGCTTTGTTCTGTGCTACAATTTCTATAAAGTGTTACAGTATATCAAGGCCAGCAGTAAATTAAATATAAATCAATGCTATCTTAAATTTAAATAAGTATTGGATACATTAAAATTTACCAGTAGACACAAAAGTTAATATTTATTTTATGCATATTTCCTATTTTGTGGGTTGAGTTATACGTGTTGCAGTTCTCCATTTTTTTAATACCTATTTTGCTTAGTTCCCTATTTCCCCATCTTCTACACTGTCTTGAAACTCGTATAGTCTAGACTGACACTCCACTGTGGACTGGGGTTGCGCTGCATTGTTGGAGGTGCCGTTCTTCAAATGAGATATAAAATCCTGACTGCCTGTTCAGATGGACGTTAAAGATCCTGTGGCACTTTAAATTCTGATATAGTCATTCTGTAGTTAGTTATCTATTGAGAAGTGAGAATTAGCTTTCTGATTTCTGACCTTGGATTCCAATTACAGCTTTGGAGCCCATATGTCCTGACCTTACAACATTTTTTGAATTGCATTCCAAAGCTAGGATCAGAGTCCAAAATGTGGAAGGTTGCCAGATGCTATATGTTTCAATGAATGCTATACTATCCACCTCTTTCCAAATTGAAAACATTAAAGAAGTAGCGTTGAAAATGAAGCAAATGCAACAAAAAGCTATCCTGAATAAGAGTGTTTCCATGGGAATATTTCACTGTTTAAGGAGCTGATCCCATTTAACAATTTCCCTATGTTCTAATTTTGAAACCAACTAACTAATTTTGACTCAGAAGCAAGAGTGCTACAACAACATGCACTTATGTAGCGCCCTCCAAGCAAGGTGGGGTTTGCAGGTGGCTGTAAGCATAGTCGAAGAGGAAGGTTTTCACGTGGGACCTGAAAACGGGTATAAAAGGGGCAAGGCAGAGGGGACTGAGGGGACTAAGGGAGAGCGTTCCAGAGTTTTGGGGCATAGTGGTTGAAAGCGTGACCTCCGATGGTGGGGCATAGGGTGCGAGGGACGAGCAGGAGGCCAGTGCCAGTTGAGCGGAGGCGCCGTGTGTTGGACTGGGGAGTGAAGAGGTCAAAGAGGTAGGGAAGTGCCAGAGAGTGAAGGGATTTGAACACAAGTTTGAGGATCTTGAAGTCAACGCATTTGGTGATGGGGCCAGTGTAGTCTGGTCAGAACTGATGAGATGTGGGTACGGAGTTTGGTCCGGATAAGTATGCGGGCGACAAAGTTATGAATGAGCTTGATCGTTTGAATAGTGGAGCTGGGGAGACCGGCGAGGAGTGTTTGAGTAATCCAAGCAGCAGGTGACAAACTCATGCACAAGGCTTTTGGCTGCATTTGGGGGAAGGCACGGTCGGAGGTGGGCAATGTGGTGGATGTGGAAGAAGCCGGTACTGGTCAGGGACCGGATGTAGGGCAGGACTACCACTGAACCAAGCTGATGTTATTGACAGAAGAACTAGAAATTGTTGAGAGCTCTTAAGGGGAAAGTGGGCAAAGACAGGGAGGCTCAGTAAAAGTAACCAGTGGATAGTAACAGCCAAAAGGGAGTTGAGAATGTGGGGTTGGGACAAGGAACAGTTTAGAGTGAGCAAAAGAATGGGTTGAGGGTAGCTGTCTGGTGTATCAGTAGATTGGAAGATTAATGATTAAAAATACAGTCTTTGGAAAAAATAACCATGGCACTGAAACAAACAATGGATACCCTAAATTAATAATTGTGAGTAATTATTTTAATCATGAGTAATTACTTTACCCTAAATGAATAATGGCAAAGCCCTTTTACCCTGGACTGGCCATATTCTACAGAATTCCATCCAACTCCGGTCATTTTCGCCCACAAAATATACAGTCAATTCACTTTACAGTATATTCTATAAAGTGCTTTGAGACGTGTCAAAGACGTGATAAGTTGATATATCAAATGCAAGGATTATTATTATTTTATTTTTAATATACATAAATGAGGAAGTGAATCACATCTAAATAGAATTGGGTAACTCTGCAATAGAATGCCTCCCCTGCCATCCTGACCTTTTGTCTTCTATCTCATGGTACATTTAGGAAATGAAGGTTTCCCATTTTGTTTCTGGAGAAAGAATAATTCTCTTCTGTGTTCTAACCATAGTTTGACATAAGTACTCAGTATGTATCATTCTGGCATCCTGAGTTTGTTCCCATGATAATCTTATCTACAAAGTCTTTAGAATGTCAACATCATTTTGGAGTCCTGTAGCTCAGTGGTGAGAGCACTCTCTTTGCAAGTGAGAGACCTGAGTTCAATTCCAGGCCGGGCGAAACCTTGGGCAAATTTCCTTACTCCACACAGAGCCTGATAATAATCCCTCCAAAAAAAAAACAATAATAAATTGGTCATTTTCAATCCATGACTGTTTGAGGGATATTGCTGTGCCCAATTGGCTGCCGCGTTCGCCCACAAATATACAGTCAATTCACTTTACAGTATATTCTGTGAAGTTCTTTGGGACGTCTAGAAGACGTGAAAAGCGCTATATCAAATGTAAGGATTATTATCAGCATGGAATGCAAATGACTGATTGTTAGCTTTCATACAAAACATTAAATTTGATTTTGGTGAAGTGAGGCAACACTGAGGTGAATCGTTTCTTACGAGTTTGCTAAACACAGTTAAGAAAAAGGAAATGCATAATAATGTACTTTAAATAATATAATAATAATCCTTACATTTTATAATAATAATGAAAATAATGAAGGAAATACATTATATTCATCACTTTGGTATCTACATGTAATACAGGTTTGTGTAGAGAAATCCATTTTAATATGATAGTTCATTAGTATTCATTATCAGTTTAATAATCTGCTAATTTCCCTCATTAGGTTGGGTGTACCAGCCACGACCAGGGAAAAAAAAAAGATTTGCATTGGGTGTTCCTTCAAATGTCTTCTCTGGCAGTGGTCAAAATATTGTTACTACCACACCGGCTACCATTTACCCTTATCGACCTGCAACCTATTCTGTAGTCATCCCGAATCTCCAGACAAGCGTCAACCGCCCATCAGTTATTGGTAAGTCCAAATACTTAAATTGGCAAAAGAACAGAAAAGGATTTCGAACAAACCTTGCTCATACATCCATAGTTCTATCTAAGGCCAATATAGAAATATAGAAACATAGTAATCTACAGTACAGAAGGAAAACACAAAATGCTGCAGATGCTGGAAATCTGAAACAAAAGCAGAAGTGGCTGGGAACACTCAGCAGGTCAGGCAGCATCTATGGAGAAAGGCAAGTGAGTCAACATTTCAGTTTCTGACGAAGGGTCGTGGACCCAAAACGTTGATTCACTTTCCTTTCTTCGTAGATGCTGCCTGACCTGCTGAGCGTTCCCTGCGACTTCTGTTTCTGTTAAGGCACAGAAGGAGGACATTTGGCCCATCAAACCTTCACCACCTCACAAAGCAAGGATATTTCTTCAATACTACCACTCTGCCCTATCCCCATACTCCTTTAAGCCTGTTTCTTTCAAATACCCTCAAACTTCCTCTTGAAGGTTACCATGGAATCCGCTTCCATCACCCTATTTGGCAGAGCATTACACACCTCAACTACTCTCTGGTCGGAAAAAATTCTCCTAGGTTCCCCTTTTACCATTTTAACCTTTATCCTTATCGATCTGCAACCTACTCTGTGAAATGTGGCAGCGGTTTCACAGAGCAATGTCCCACAAACAGCAATGGAATGAGCGACCAATTTTATTTGAGAGATTGTTGGCCAGAACACCCTTCTCTTTCCGAATAGTGCCTGGGGACCTTTAACATCCACCTGAACTGACCTCAGTTTAACGTCTCATCTGAAGGATGGCAACTCCGACAATGCAACACCCTCCTCCCCCCAGCACTGTTTTGAAATATCAGCTTAGACTATGTGATTTCATATCCTGAAGTGAGGCTTGGCTAAAAAAAGGCCAACTTCTTGGTTAGCAGGTCAGCTCTACCAATGTCACTTCTAATGTGCGGGAAGTGACATCAGCGGCATTCTGTTGGCCCGGAAATTGACCAATTTTTAGTGCAGGAAGCTGGCTAGGAAAACACCCATGGAAACAGATGTTTCGTAGAGGAAATCGCAACAATCATTCCATGAGTGGTTCTTGCGCCACTTCAGGATATGAAGTCACATAGTCTAAGCTGACTCTGAGGCGTGTGTTTTACCACTGACACAGGCTGGCACACATCCTGAGGTTCTTATTATCAATAGGTCTAAAGCACACTCAGAGGGATTCATTTAAGAAGCAGCTTAATGCTGTGATGGAAAGAGTGTAAGATTGGTACTTTGGAAAAATCACAGACAAAAGGCCTTCTTCACCCAAACCTTTATATTGCAGTGAACACTGGAGACAACTCTAACCAGGGTTAAAGCCTGGATTTTCACATGGCTAACATCTGTATCATCAAATCAGCATCACTAATGTCACTGCTTGTGTGCAGGAAGTGGCATTAGCGTCATCCCAATGGCCCAGAAGTTGGCCAATGTTTAGTGCAGGAAGCTGGCCAGGAAAACACCAATGAAAACCAATGCTTTGTAGAGGAAATAGCAACAATCATTCCACAAATTATGCAGAAACCCAGCTGGCTTCCTGTATTCATCATTGGTTATATGGTCGGAGATGCCAAAATGCAGAAGCATTGATTGGTGACGGCTGTTAAAAAATTGGTTGGGATTTTATGGACTCAAAACTACAACAACTTTAATTGTATTTTCTATAACCTAACCATACTCCAGTTAATTGAAGTGACGGTTAATTGTATTTCAAAGAAAGGGACACTTTCTATCAACTGCACTCGCAAATCAGAGTTCCAGTGTCAATATTGGGGGCGAAAATGATTTAGCAACTCCTGTTGGTAATAATAATAACAATCTTTGCATTTGATATACTGCTTTTCACGTCTTCCAGACGTCTTAAAGTGCGTCACAGAATAGACTGTAAAGTGAATTGACTATATTTGTGGGTAACCTGATATATGTCACAGCGAGCTATGGGAAATTTGTTCAGTAGTTCAGTGGAGTAGTGGAGTCCTCAGCTCAGTGGTTAGAGCACTTGCCTGGCAAGCAAGAGACCTGGGTTTGATTCTCGGCAGGGCGAAACTTTGGGCAAGTTTTCTTACTCCACATGTCTGATAATAATCCCTCAAGAAAAAAAACAATAAATTGGTCATTTCAATCATGACTGTTTGTGGGACACTGTCAAAGTGTTAAAATTGAAAGTTTTAAAATGCCTTTGTGCTGAGTTCCTCCAGTGATCTAGTGTCTAAAAGCATGTGCTTTAGACCTGTTATAATAAGAACCTCAGAATGTGTGTCATGGACCTATGTCATTACAGTTCAGAAAGTCTCAGGATCACATCCTGATCTCTGCTGAATTAACTAATTTCAGTCAGGTAATAGGTAACAATTGGCCTTAGCATTCCTGGGTTATGAGGGAGGAAATCAGCTGGGTTCCCACTTTTAATCAGGTTTCAAAGATCTCACCTGCTGAAAGATGTGCATGTGTGGGCATTGGGTGAGGACAGGACAGACAGGGCTTGGCTGTGATGCCATCTCTTTTCCTCTTCCCTCTTCCCCCCTGCCCTCTTGTCCACCATTTGCTATGTACTCTCATGTCTCGCATTTAAGAATGACTGCTTACAATACAATCCCTAAGACACTCCAGGGTTTGCATCTGAGTTGGAGATGGGGGCCAAGAAGGTGGAGTGGGGTGAGGGGGAGAGGGGGTGATGGGGAGAAGATGGCTGAAAGCTTGGTCAGTGAGGAAGGTCTTGAGGCAGACTTTCAAGGAAATGAGGGAAGAAGCGAGTCAAAGGGATCTGGCATGGAATTCCAGAGAGTGTGGGCAGATACATAGAAAGCCCAACCACTGATGGTGGGTTGAGATGGGCAATGGTGACTGTTGCCCATATAACCTTTCATTGATGTAGAAGGGAAAGGAGTTACTTGCCTTGAAGCAGGAGCATATACAAATAAGCTAGCAAAGAGCAAACTTTTGTTGATGATGCCAACTGTTTGACGGTTTAAATTCAGTATGATTTAAGAACTTTAATGTAACCTGTAATGTGATTTTTCAGCAGGTCAAAGTCAGTCTTTACGGATGCCAGTCACTCAAGGTCAACGTCCAAATTCAATTATATTGTATCCACAAACAAATCCTGTCCAGGTTGGTTTGTCCACTCAGAGCATGCCCAGTCACTCCACTGTGCCAGCTCCTTGCCCTCCAGGACATGGCAGGAGTGAGGTGCATCACGAGGTTCCTGGTCCCAGTGCAGCATCTAATTGTACAGAGCAAAGAATACCTACAATGACCGTCGATGTTGGCAAAAGAAATTCTACCAATGAGACTAACAACCTTCACAGCAGAAATGTCATCCCTGAAGTACCAGCACAAAAGGAGATACCAACGGTTTCTAGCTGTCCCAGAAATCCGCCACCAATGCCTTCAGGATCCCTTCCTCACCCACATGCCTACCAGCACCCACCAATGGGACATGCTGCTAATCTGTTTGGAGCTGCTGCTCGCTTTCCCTTTCATCATCCCTATTTCCTACCTGGGCCACCCTACTTCCCCTCAAGGTACTTAGATTTTATCTTCTGTATCTTCATACATAGGAATTAATTTACTTGGCAATATTTGACCACCTGAGAACCAGAAATATATTTATTTACAGTTCATATAAGACATGGGATAACCGATTCTGATGTGCATGCATGTTGTCTGTACGTCAGGTCTTAATACAGGACACATGAAAATAGTTTGGATATAGAAGCCCGTTATCCCGTTTATTCTTATCTTTCCTCTTCACAACACAAGGAAAAGTATTTTGGCACTGGATCTTCTCACTCGTTTTCAAATCCCTTCATGTACTCGCACCTCCATGCCTATCTGATCTGCTTACCCCCCACCTCCACCACCCGCTGCCTCCCCTTGGCCTTCAGCCACTACCCCCCGAAACTCTGGAACTCTCCCACACTCCATTTTCAAATACTTGTATCCCTCATCATAATGAGGACAAAACCACTCATTTTCAATGAGGGATACCACATCCTGGAGTACAAAATATGATACAAAATTGTCACTCCTAGGAAAGCCATTAACACAGGTTAGATTTAGCTTGGAGTCCTGTAGCTCAGTGGTTAGAGCACTCGCTTTGCAAGCGAGAGACCTGAGTTCAATTCCAGACAGGCAAAACCTTGGGCAAGTTTCCTTACTCCACACAGAGCCTAATAATAATCCCTCCAAAACCAAAACCAATAATAAATAGGTCATTTTCAATCTATGACTGTTTGTGGGACACTGCTGTGCGCAATTGGCTGCCGCGTTCGCCCACAAATATACAGTCAATTCACTTTACAGTGTGTTCTGTGAAGCACTTTGGAATGTCCTCCTGACATGAAAAGTGCTATATCAAATGCAAGGATTATTATTATTATTTAGAGTAAAGCTCCCTTAACAGATCCACAGCCTCAGCATGCTTCATATCCAATTTCAGAATATACCACTTTGCCCCATGTGAAATTTCCACGCGCTGCACCAGCATTATGCATTCTCTCAGTGAGTCTGCCAACTTAATTCCAGTTATGTTACGTGGTATTGACTCATACAATGTATTGAGTTAACTTTCCAAAATTCTTCACCATAGGACCCCATAGCTCTCAGTGCGATGAGATTTGCATGCCGTCAGTCTGATGTTTATTTAAGTGTATTTAACGATCCAGAGCTGAACGGATAGTATTGTAACCAGTAATTTAACACAAGTAAAGTGTTATCAAATGCTGCAAACCCTTCCCCATTGTTACATTTGATCTGCTTAATTCTTTCTTTCTGCTAGTTACACTACGTAGAATAATCTCTGTTAACTGAACAAAACAGGTTAATTGGAAAAAGTTTCCAGAACAAGAGCAAAAATAGTACATGATGTCAGACAAACATAACAAGGAATTAATGTCTAGTAACTTATGGAAAAGCAGTGATATGGAGCTGCATTTTAGAAACTCTTAGCATAAATCAATCCAATTCAGTTACTCAACAAAATTACTTTTAGAACACGACTCAGTTATCAGTATGGTCAACTGACTTGCTGACCCTCGGTGTCAATGCTCACACATGAAGAATGGATAATGAGTGAGATACTGAAGAACTGCCATTGCCTGTTCTCCATAGTATAGTATGTGCCATCAGCTTTAGGAGAGTAGAAAAAAGAAGCAAATTGGGGCCATTGTGATACTGCACATGGTGGTAGGTTTAATCCACTTTGAAACCCACGTTGTCAATGTGTGGTAAACAGCAAATGAATATGACTGATCTTAGACTATGTTTCAGGGTAGGAATGGGATGCACCTTTGATATTGAAAGTTGTTTGTGAAACTCAGTCTTATATTGTATGATTGTCTTCTAAATACTTTGTTTCAGGTGTCACCTTGACTCAGTTGATAGCACTTGCGTTGGGGTCAAGCCTAACATTAGCGCTTAAATTTATAGTCTGACACTCTAGGGGAGCACTGAGGTATCCTTCAAAACATTAAAGCAAGATACCATCTGCTTACAGTCAAGTAGATTTTAAAGATCTCATGAGACTATTTGAAAGCAATAGGAGTTTCTGCTGTTGGGCTGGACCACAATCTTTGAGATAAGTGGAGTTAAATCGTGGAATAGAGGAGCTTTCATTTACCTTATGCCTATTGGAGAGGTTGTCCTGACCTGAAAGGTGCTATATAAATGTAAATTGTATTGGTTGTATTTGTTCGACCATGCTGTATAAAATATGGTCGTTGCATTTGCCAACAAAAAACAGACGTTGTTGTCATTCCGCGGCAGTAATGACTGGAAAGCACTTTGAAACATCTTGAAATGTAAGGTGTTATAAAATGGAAGTTCTTTTTTGCGGTACTCTTTTATTCTGCATAACACATTCCCTGCTTCTAGTTATTTGATAGTTATTTGATTTTTAAATAACAGTTTAACATTATGTTAATTTTATCTATGTTTTTCTGCTCCAGTACTTGTCCTTATAGCAGACCACCCTATGGCTATGGTGATTTTGCAAACAGCATGTCTGAATGCCTTGGGTACTACGAGGACCGATATCAAAAGCACGAGGCCATGTTCTCAGCCTTGAATAGGGACTACCCCTTTCGGGAGTATCCAGATGACTGCCAACGCAATACAGACTCCAGGAGCAACAGCAGCATTGAGGAAGGACCACATCCCAGCAGCCTGGGAGGAGAAGAATACCTGAACTCAGTTCCTCAGTTGGATGTTGGCGCACTGGAGAATGTCTTCACAACCCCAATGTCTGCTCCATCACAGCCGCAGAGAGTGGAGATGGTCCATAGCGATGACGAACAGGAAGGCAAAGTATTAAAAAGTCTGTAGCTTAAAAAAAAATCAAACTGTTTTAACCATACCATCCTATAAATATATCTCTGTGGAATGATTCTTTATTTATAATAAACCAAACTGAGAATTCAGAGTTTTGTTTCCACATAGAAGCACTTGATGTTTATAACATCCATGCGTGAAAATTTTGAGTAGCAAAATAATTTTTAACCTTTGCACACAAAACAAAACACCAATCTGTTGGTGTTACAGATTGTTACTGATATGTTTAAAATGCCTTTAGTGAGTTTGCTTTTAACTCTTTTTCAAATTCAGTTGAAATACATCTGACATACTAGTTAGTGCAAGTAATTTTGGTTATAACTTTTGTAAGTGTTGTTCATACTGTTATAGTTTCATTTCTGAGTTACATTTGAATAAACTAGCATTAAACCTACATTTTTTTTTAGAAAATAAGGATTGTTTTTTAATTGCCTCCCTCCCTTTTGTTGCATTTAATAAAGTTGCAGTTCATTTTGGCTTATTTAAAAATTTGTGTCAAAATTACAAACATGCTCAGTCAATCAGCAGTTTGTTGCATTGCTGTGCTGTGTGGAGGGCCAGGCTGGCTAGTGGGTTGGCCTCCTGATTCCCACACGGTCATTTCCTAATCTTGGCTGGACCATCAAGGCAAGCGCTAGTGCAGGAAGGGAAACATCACAGGCCATTATTGGCCCCTCTCGCCCAACTACCAGTGACCAGTTACAGAACGCCATTGGCAGAGACTTGGAAGTTAAGTGCCAAACCCCTCAGCCAGGGTTTGGTAGGCGGCAAAGAGACCTAAAGAAGGGAGGAAATATCCTAGAAATAAGGAACATTTTTAAACATGTCATCCTAATAATTTGTTTTTAATTTTGCTAAATGATTTCTTATAAGTCATCATGGACTGTTCAGCCATTCTGTTTTTGATCACAGGGAGCCTTCTAATTCAGCATAATGTGTAGATGTTAGTGACATTAAACTCTGTGGCATAGACTGACCAGATTTATTGAACCTTCTTAACCGTAGTGGCATTTCGGAGCATTGAGGGAAGATTAGGGGATGGAGATCAATTTTCCATTCCTAACTTGTAACTTTTTAATCACAAATTCAAATATATTGGTAACTATTCTTGTTATAATAAATATTTCTATTTATAAAATTCCAGCTGTCATTTGTTTTATTGTTTGAATGCAGATTTCTATGCTTAGAGGGGGAAAAGCCAGCTTCCCAGTGTTCCGTGTTTCATTCTTAATGTTATAATCAGGTTTCCTCTTTCAGATTCTCTTGACAACACACTTGCTGCCAGAGGCAAAATGTCCTGCAACACATTTGTTCATGTTTGTAAATTACAGGCATGTGACAGGATACATGGTACTCAGAGGATAAAATTCCACAATCAGCCAGAAAACAGTTTCCAAATGGAGGCAACAAGCTTAAGGTGGAGGCCATGAGAAATTTCAAGCCTTTCATAAAGATTCAACTCAACAACAACAATTACATTTATAGAGCGCATTTCACACCAGGAGGACGTCCCGAAGCGCTGAACAGTCAGATGTCAGGGCCCGAAAATTGGGGAGGAGTGGTGTAGGGGTGAGGGAAGGCAGAGAGGTGGGAGGGAAACCAGCACGGTCGAAGAGAAGAGTCTTGAGACCGGCCTTGAAGGAGGCAAGGGAGGAAGCCAGGCGTGGGATGGAGTTCCAGAGTGTGGGGGCAGAGAGGCTGAAAGCCCGGCCACCAATGGTAGGGCGGGTGGGAGACATGGAGCAGACCGGAGCCTGTTGAACAGAGGGAGTGGGCAGGTTGGTAGGGAGTCAGCAGATCAGAGAGGTAGGAGGGGGCAAGGCCATGGATGGCCTTAAAGGTGAGAACGAGGATCTTGAACTCGATCCTCTGAGGGATGGGGAGCCAATGGAGTCGGGCGAGGGTGGGAGTGACTTCATGGAGGTTACCGTGTTGAAGACAGAGGAGGGGGTGACAGGTTCAAAGGTGTGGAAGGAGGGATGGATATTTGTCGGATGGGTAATTGTGTGCGGTGTGGGTAGGGAGGGGTTGGAAGTTGGGAGGGCAGTGGCAGCTGAGTGGATTCTCTTGATTTTGGACTCGAGGAAGTCCAGCATTTTCTTGCAGTGAGAATTAGAGGAAAGTATCTGCGAGGCGTGTCAGGGGAGGCAGAGGAGCCGGTTTGTGGTACAGAACAGGAGCCTGGGTTTCGCCTCCAGATTTAACCTGGAATAGAAGGACGATTTGGCCGAGGCAAGAGCGGAGCAGTAGTTCTTGATGAGGTCCAGCCAGATGTGACGGTGGACCATTAGGCCGGATTTGAGCCAAGTGCGTTCGGCAGACCCATGAATCACAAAACAGTCCCCTCACAACACCAACACTGAGCAGAGTTCCATGCATTTCTACAATTAGATCTCTCATTTTGTAGACAGAAGGAGACTTATTTACGTAAACAGTGACAAATAAAACTTCCAGGAAGAAAATAACAGCAAACTAGCTCAAAATAAAAAACAATTATTTTTATTTTCAAAAACATTTGCCTCTAAAAATATTTATTATTTCTGTGTTGAGTCTCCCACTCTTGTTCCATTTTGTTTGTTTCAGCCTAAATACAACACAAAATTTACATTTATACAACCCCTTTCACATCAGAAGGAAGTCCCTGGACGAGCTGTTCAATCATGTCCCCATATTCGCCACCTTGATTCATAAAAAAAGCTGTTTCCCACCATTTTGTCAATGTAACATTATTTTCATTTTTTTAAATTTTTGCCCGCAAATACATTTCAAAAGGTCGATCTGACTAAGTTTTTTTTTTAATAAATCCTAATTCTGGAACAGTGGATAAATTAAGTCGATTTTAAATTTAAATCTTAAATTTAAAAGTAATTAGATCACTATGTCCTGGAAACTCCACTGAGCAATCTGTCCAGTGAATTTCATTTTGACTGGCCTATTTCATATTGGACTGCATTAGACTAGAATGGGGTTCATATTTGAAGCAGATATATCATATATACCGTTAAATATCATGATGCCATTTTGCTTTCTGACGTTTTCTTCTCTTTTCTCAGATGAGAGGACTAAAACGCACAGCCGACAGGTCGGAAACAAAACGTTTCTTGTCAAACAGAAAACGTAGTTATTAATTTCTGTTTTACAAGAGTGGCAAAGTGGTTTGTTTTCCAACCTGTCAGCGGTGAGCCCTCTCATCTGAGAAAAGAGCAAGAAAACTCCAGCAGTCAAAAGGGGATCGTGATATTTTTAATGATTTTGTAGTGAATCGCTCAACTTATGGTGTAAGAGCCAGAATTAGCAGTGATTTCCAGTTTACAGAGGCAGCATTTTCAACACCCCCCCTTATGCCCCATAAACCTGTTCCACTTTTTCCAACAACTCAAGCAACAAGCATCCTGTACTCTTTTTAAGTCTCTGCACTTCTTATCAGTCAGCTGAACCTTCAACAAATATGTCCTTTGCATAACGCATGTATATATTGTATGTTGGTTGAACAAAACTCAAATAAACCGGATTCAACATTGGAATTTGCTGCTGGAAAATACTGAACATAGAAAATGCTAAGACTTGATTTGAAAACCTTCTCAACTTATTGTATGTGACGCACAGATTCACTCATGTTCAGGTTCTGTTGCTAGAGTTGTGATAACGTAAAGGATTATACACATAGTACTAAACGTTTGTGCTCCCCGATCCACTTTAAGTTTTAAAGATAATATTTTTGTTTGAGTACTCAAAATCTTGGGGCTCCTTTGTTTAAGCAGGCATTGCCTTTGAGACGTCTCGAAGACGTGATAAGGCATATCAAATCAAGGATTATCATTACAATAGGAATTAACAGTCAAAATACATAATTCAAACACCAGGTGACGCTCTTTAACTGTAAAATTGATATCAGCAGCATTGACACAGAAGGAAGCAAAGACTGACCTCTAGTGCTGACAAAACTTACATAGTACAAATTATTTCGTTTCCTGAGATGTGTGTAATTTTCTCTCTGTTCTAGTTTCTACAGATGGGAACTCAACTGTACTGAAGTCGCAGAATACTGAGGGGATTAGTGGAGATCTGATATTATCAGTCATGATGAGAACAAGTCTATTAATCTGTAAGTGGCAAGGAAATTTTTTTTGGTCAACTGGGTGTCTGACGCATGCAGAGACCTATCACCCTCTCACTTGCAAGTGCTCTAACTACTAGGCTTTCTTTTGAAGGTCCATAAAAGAGTCATTGCTTTCCAGCTTCGCTCATTCCTCACCTGCCATTCCCTTCACGAGTCCCTCCAATCGGGTTTCCGTACTGCTCACACTCCATCCTCCTCCATCGCCTCTCCTCTCACCTCAACCTTCAAGTCTTATCTCTCACACTACCTCCAATTTGTCTCTGCCAACGGTTTCTCTTTCAGTCCCCGCACAATCTTGTGTGGTGTCCCTCAGGGCTCTGTCCTCGGTCCACAACTCTTCAACCTCTACGTGCTCCCCCTTGATGACATCATCCGCACACATGGGGTCAACTTCCAGAAGTACGCGGATGACACCCAACTCTATCTCTCTGCCTCCACCCTCGATTCCAGGACAACCGACGGCTTGACAGACTGTCTGTCTGACATCAAGTCCTGTACGCGAGCCAACTTTCTACAGTTGAATGTCAACAAGACTGAGGCCATCCTGATTGGCTTGCGCCAGCGCCTCAGAACCTCAGGCACTGGCAGCATCAGCATCCACCTCACCAAGCCAGTTAGGAACCTGGGCATCTTGTTCGACCCTCAGCTCTCCTATCTCCCTCATATTCATGCCATGACCCGCTCTGCCTTCCCCCACCTCCGCAACATTGCCCGACTCCGCCACTGCCTCACCCCTCAGGCCGCCTTAACCCTCATGCATGCATTCGGCACCTCAAGGCTATGGAAACGCCCTCCTTGTCATCCTCCCAAACTCTTCCCTCCACAAGCTGCAGATCATCCAGAACTCTGCAGCTGGTGTCGTCTCCTGCGCCAGGCTCCGTGACCCCATCACCCCCATCCACGCCCGGCTACACTGACTTTCAACCTTTTTGTCCACATCCTCTGGAACTCCATCTCGGAGTCCCTTCACCTCACCCCTCTCTTGCCTCCTTCAAGATCCGTCTCAAGACTTTCCATTTTGAACGTGCCTTCGGGCATCTTTCCACCCCCACCCTCCCTGCCCTCCACCCATCTTGACTTCAGACTCCAGCCCCCAGCTTGGGAGCAAACCCTTGACTGTCCACTCCTGGGGACATCCTCCCAAAGTGAAAGGCAGTATATAAATGCAATTTGTTATTGTGGTATTTGTTGTGACTTTCCGGGTCTGTATGTCTTAATGCAATACCAACAGGTGGTGTGCATACACCCACTGAACATGAGATAGCTACCAGATGAATACGTCACTTCCTACGAATCCACTTCGGGGAATTGGATAAGCACCTGAGCAGTAAAACTATTAAGATCTGGAAAGTGGAATTAATGATAAAAAAAAAGTTAGTGTGACAGATACGGTGAGCTGAATGGCTCCCTTCGGTACAGTAAAATATTATGTTTACATTTTTGAAAGCAATGCGAGCAAACATGTTTCATAATTGCAATTATTTATGTGAATGCTTGTGTGTTTCAAAACAAATAAGATGGAAGTTTACTCAGCGAAAATATGCATTTTTTTGTCATGAAAATCCATTAGACAATTTCAGTCAATTGAGAATGAGTGAATTGGTTGAAATACCACCTGTGCACCTTCACAATGTTTCCTCCTAAGTGGATAATATTCAGAAAACAATAGATTAGCTACAACTCGTGGAAATGAGATTAAAGTTTCTCTACTGTTGCTAAAAAGACTATTTTAAAAAATAGGATTACCAAATTATGAGTGGAAGACGAGTGCACAGAGGGATAGTTGACCGAGGAACTCGAATCACAGAAACACAAAGATATGTACACTAAAAAAACAGCTACAGCTCATTTCATGTCAGGAGGGTATATTGTAAAATGGAGTGACTGTATATGTTGTGGGTGAATGTGTCAGTCCGGCTCAATTGATAGCACTCTCACTTCTGAGTCAGAATGTTGTGGTCTCAATCCCCACATTGTAACTTGGAACTCATATAGTCCATGCTAATACTCCAATGCAATGGTGGGGGGTGCCGAATGGTTGGAGGTGCCGTCCTTTGGATGAGATGTTAAACCAACGACCAGCCTGCCTAACCAAGTGGGAGGTAAAGTTGCCATGACTCCATTCAAAAAGAGAAGGGAGGTTTTCCCGGTGTCCTGGCCAATAATCTCCCAAATAAAATTGATCATTAACTCACGGATGTTTGTGGGACATTGCTCTGTGAAACTGGAAAGTTCACCCACAAGTACAAACAGTCGCACTACTTTGAGTATATCTTATGAAGTGCTTTGAGATGTCTTGACGCCGTGATAAGGCACTATATTTAATGCAAGAATTATTACTCTTATGGAATAGTCAACACCCTCTCTGCTTTCTCCCTGCCCACATCAAATGCTTTGAGGCATTCATCCCACGTGAAAAGTGATATATAAGTGCAAGTCGTTGTGCAGTGTGATCCATATTACATCAACCTTTTGGGAGACCAGGTAGAGTTCCAGAAAAAAGTGAGAGCGGGGAATAAGGATGAACCATCTGGTGTATATATTTGAGAGAGAGAGAGGGAGGTAAAAGAAAAGCATCAACCACAAAAGATCAGAAAGGATGAAAAAGAGCACCAGTATAAAACAGAGTCAGAAAAGAAACCGGGAGAAAAACAAACCATTTCCTGCGAAACACACAAAGGAGATCACAGAAGATGTTTGGAGAGAATTGCTTATTGGCAGAAAGGAAATAAACAGAGATAAAAAGCGCTGTAGCACTGGGAAATCCGATTATGACACAGAGAGCATTGTTTAAGACAGGAATATGGAATGGATTATGTGGACATTTATTTAAAAACCTCACTGTCATGATAAAGCTAAGTTGAACTTTCCGCGCAAATTTCAGACAAATCATTTAGATAAAAGTTTTGGTGTCATTCTATTACTCCTTAATGAGTGGACTCACAATCCTAAACTTAAAATATACGTTGACTTTCGACTGGATTCCAGCTTGTGCGAACCATGGCAGGACATCTGGTTCATGTCAGTACTTGCATCATGCGCTAATACCCTGCAGATCACAAATCGACGACTGCAGAGCAAGCCAGCGGAACAGTAAAGCGATGCTTCCATGGAAAATATTAATGCTCATATTTAAATGCTTGTCACGATCTCTACTCTCTCTACAAATGTAAATCAAACGTGAGAACAAACAAAAAAGAATCACAATTACTCAAGACTTGGCTTAACCGCTGTGCCAGAGAGGAAAAACCAAGGACCCATCCTGGAATGGGAAAAGCTACCGCGTGCTGATTGCCTGGTCTCTGTTGAGGTGACTGAGAGGGTCGAGAGAGATACATACATATCAGCAAGTATGAACGGATATGGACATGAAAAAGGGAATATTGGCGAGTGAGAGCCAGGATACATAAATAGAGATAATGGCAAATCTCTCAGATGGCCTAAAGAAACACTTGTCACGGAATTCCCTCCCTCTCCTCGCTCCTTACATTTGATATAGCGCCTTATCACATCTTCGAGATGTCTCAAAGCGCTTCACAGAATGTATTGTAAAGTGAATTGACTGTACAATTTGTGGGTGAAAATGCATTTACCGGTATTTTTCGCCCACAAAATATACAGTCAATTCAAATGAGAGGATTATTGTAAGGATTAGTATTATTATTTTTCAGCCTTTTTCAGCATTGATAAAAGCCACTGCTTAAAAAATGCAGAAGATTACAGTTAGCCAGAAATTCCAGCTCATATCTGCCCCCTACACCCCCCCCCCCCGCCCCCTGGGTTCAATTCCTGGCAGGGCGAAGTGTCGGGCAAATTTCCTTCCTCCGCGCACTTCTGTTTTCCGAGCAGTAAGCAGGAACCTGGTTGTTAGTCGATTGGCGGATCATCTTTTTGGGGGTAATAATTCCTAAAAGAAATAATAAATTGGTCACTTCAATCCACGACTGTTTGTGGGACACTGCTGTGTGCAATTGGCTGCCGCGTTTCGCCCACAAATATACAGTCAATTCACTTTACAGTTTATCCAGTGAAGCGTTTTGAGACGTCTCGAAGACGTGGTCAGGCGCTACATCAAATGCAAGTCTTTTTTCGAGTGATTATTACCCCTGGGAAGCGTTCTGCCGATCGACTAACAACCGGGTTCCTACTTACTACTGAGTAAGCAGAGGCGTGTGGAGTGTGTAAACTTGCCTACGGTTTCGCCCCACCCAGGAATCGAACCCGAGTCCTCTCGCTGGCGAGGCGAGCGCGCTAACCACTCCGCTGCAAGACTCCACGAGCGTCGGGAACAGCCCGTTAGCCCTGAGGCCAATGACAATGATCCTCTTGTGTCACTCAACTGAGATCAGTCAACTCAGTGTGGAGGAGGGCGGGTGGGGTGGGGTGGGCGCGTGGGTGGGTGTTGGAGGTGGTACCTGGCCGGTGTGCTGTGTGGCTAAATAAAGGGGGGGGGGCATTCCTACACCGAACCACTAGGTTGAGCCCATCCATTGCCTTTTTATCCTCCCCCCTCCCCTCCCCCCTCCCCCCCCCGCCCAGCCCCGGAAAATCGAAACAGCGCATCGAACACGAAGCCCATATCAAATAAATATTCGATAAGATGTTAAAAGCCTTTGCGCCGAAGTTGGGGCGGGCGGTTCGGGGAGACTTTGTGGGAATCACAAGCCAATAATAATAATAATAATGATAATGATAATAATGATAATGATAATAATGATAATAATGATAATGATTATTATTATTCTCACCCACAGACCGCTGAGGAATTCCTGGCTGACTGGTGGGGAAGGAAAGTGGGTGGTGACCAAAACTCTGCCACAGCTAAATAAGGATCTTAGAGAGAGAGAAAAAAAACCCCCCAATCACATGTTGGTCAGAGAGTGTCAGTGAAGAAGACAAAGGGAATCTTTCAGCGCCGAGAAGTCGAATCATGTGTGTGAAGGGCTGAGGAGAGCCGCCGCTGTGCCCTCACAACAACAACAACAACAACAACACAACCAGGGACCAGGGACCAGGACCTGACTCTGCCCTCAGGTCAGGTTCCCCCTCACACACACCTCTCTCAGTCAACTCGACACCTATCTGGTCAGCGGCGCTCACAGCCTCCGCTCATCTGCTCTCTCAACACAGCAACAACAACAACACCAACACCACAACAACAACAACAACACCACCACCACCACCAGAAGAAGAAGCCCCTCTGCACCTCCTCAGGTCCCTCAGGGCGATGGGCCGCGGAGGGGGAGAGCTGCGGCGGCTCAGAGCCGCGTTGGTCGGAGCGCATCTCTGGGCGTGTGTCGCGGTGTTGGCGGCGGTCCACTGCAACGCAGAGACGGCACCGGGAGGAGGTGAGGGGGTGAGGGGGTGAGGGTCGGGGACCGTCCGGGGTGGGGGGGGGGGGTGGGGGGGTGTCTGGCCATCTGACTCCCCTACTCCCCCATCACCCACACACCCCCACACACCCCCCCACACCCCCACTCCGCGCTGTTCCGTCAATGTCATTTTTTTTATTGAGTTACTTTAAAAACCGCAGTTGTGCTTTTTTTTAAAAAAGAGGATTTGTTTTAAGCATCAAATTGTTTTTTGATCCCCCAACAGCCCCCTCCCACACCCCCCACCAACACCCCCTCCCCCTCCCACCACCCCCCCCCCCACCAACACCCCCCCTCCCCCCTCCACACCCCCCTCCACACACCCCCTCCCCCCTCCACACACCTCCTCCCCCCACCCCCCCCAACCCCCACCCCCCCCCCCACCCCCCACAACCCCCACCACCTCCCCCACCCCCCTCACACCCCCTAAACCCCATACCCCCCACCCCACACACCCCCCACCCCACCATCCCCAACATCCCTCCCTCCCACCCCCACCCAACCCACCCCACAACCCCCCCATCCCCAACCCCCCTAAACCCCCCACCCCACCCCCCCCCCCCCCACACACACACAGGGTGTCTGACTGTCTGATATTCACAATCATGCAAAAAAAAAACGACGCCTCTTTTGCTAAAAAAAGGTTAATTTTGGGCATTGGTGCAAATGCAAATCGAGAGGTTTGTCCAGTGAGAGATTTCGGACGTATGAGCCCGAAAATGAATGAAAGTCGCATATTTTTCCACTGTTTATTTTTCCACCAGTTTTTTCAGCCGTTTAGTGCAGAGCAGAAACACACACTGAGGACTGCCTTATATGTCAACTCTGAAATCACAGTCCCTCTCTCCCGGCCTCCACACAAACTAGTCTGATGGCTTGTTGAGGAAAGTTCCAAGCACTTGTATACAAAGTCTGGGGTACTTGAGACGTAGGAGGGGTAAAGGACACGGGAACGTGGATTAATGGGACTGTGAGTCAGTGAATCGAAATTAAATGTAATAACTCAGTTTTCTGAGGTGGGGAGGGAGGGAGGTGAGGTGTTCATTTAAATGTTTAACCGTAAAGTAGGTTAGTTTTGTGAGGTCCTGGTGCAAGTTCACACAACGCATTGGTTCATGTTCATCTCCGCACCCAACTTCTGCACTCTCCAAGTGAATGTTGGAGGTGATGCTGTTCCCACTGACATTCACTGACCAGCGAGGTCTCTGGATAAACAGATTTAATAGATAAATTGTCTCCAGTCAGAAGGAACCCAGACTTATTATCAGGCGCTGCTGTTCTGCTGGCTGAGCACAGCTAACTCAGCACAGACAGGGAATTAAAACAGAGGCTTTCTGGTCTGTATGGCTTATTGGCGAACAAGGCAGGAATTTTTTCCCACTTGGCAAATAGAGGAAGACAACTTTTTATTAAAGATGTGACGATGAGGAGAGGTTCAGTCTCAACTCAGTGTGCAGACACTCCCTAGCTAGGCTCAAAGATGTTTCGCCCACAAAATACACAGTCAATAATAATAATAATAATGCTTGCATTTGATACAGCACCTTATCACGTTTTTGAGATGTCTCAAAACGCTTACACAAAATATACTGTAAAGGGAATTGACTGTATATTTTGTGGGTGAAATGAAGCAGCCAATTGTGCACAGCAAAATCCCACAAACAGTCGTGGATTGAGTGAACAATTTTTTTTTAAGGAATTATTACCCCCAGAAAAGCGATCTGCCAATTGACTAACAATCAGGTTCCTACTTACTGCTAGGTAATCAGAGGCGTGTGGAATAAGGAAACTTGCCCAATGTTTCGCCCTACCTGGCATGGAACCCAGGTCTCTCGCTTGCGAGGCGAGTATTCTAACCACTGAGGTACAGGATTCACATTAGAGTATATTGTGTGAAGGGCTTTGAGACGTCTCAATGATGTGATAAGGCGTTATATCAAATGCAAGGATAATTATTATTACTATTATTATGAAATTTGGCTTCATTGCCTGTCATCACCTGGAGAAGTGAATTCTAGGATTCAACATCTCCAGGAGAGGAGAAACTAGAGCTACAAGAAGCTCTTACTTTACATTGACAAAGTCACTGACGCCTACTTTCTCTACCGCTATTGCCTGTCAGCTCACTTCCCTACTCTTCTCTCAGGGAGAATCAGCCATCTGGACCCCACAACACACCCATATCAGCATATTGTAAAGTACGAAGTAATGGTTCCTCAGTGGCTGACCCCAGGACGGTCAAAACGATTCATCTCGGATAAGGAGGTACAGTGCATTATCTGTTAACCAGTGACTGTATGCTGTCTGATAAACAGAGACTGTACACTGCCTGATAACCAGGGTCTGTGCATTGTCTGATAATCAGGTATATGACAGGTTGGACCAGTTACAAGATTAAGTTGACCCTGATGGTACAGTGTAACTGGAGTAAGTAATGTGATCTGGGTCAGAGTTCTGGGTGGGAAATAATCTCCATTGTTTGGTCAGCGTATTAAGGGATACGGGGCAAGGGCAGGAAATTGGACTTGAGGTACAGATCAGCCACCATCTTACAGAATGGCGGAACAGGCTTGAGGGGCTGAATGGCCTACTCCTGTTTCTATGTTTCAATCAGCTGTATGTCAGCACAAGGTCTCCTGTAAGACTTTATAAAGTTTAGGAACATAGACTCAAGAGGAGGCCATTCAGCCCATCGAGCCTTTTCCGCCACTGTTTTTTAGCTCATAGTAAGCCTTAACCAGTTGTGGACTGGCTCCCCCCAAAACTCGGGATTTGGGATCCTTATGTAAAATAAGGGCATTGATTTGTGGGTGCGCTCAGCAGCCAGTCACGGAGAACTCGGGAAATTTCCCGAATTTCCTCAATTCCCCTGCAACTTAATTCCCTTACTTGTCAACCATCTATCCGTCTCTTTTTAAATGTCCTAATTGATTCTGACTGTATGGTCTTTCAGGGACTCTGCGTTCTATAATTCTCACAACTCTCTGTATGAAGAAATATTTTCTGTTCTCACTTCCATCCTATTTTAATTCCAAATTTTAAGTTGAAGCCCCTTTATTTTGTATCTGTCTACCAGAAAAAGAGAGTCGCTCACTATTTATCTCGTCAATATCCTTCATTATTTAAACACCTGAATGATATCACTCATTAATCTCAAATCTAAGGGATTCAATCCATATCTATGCAGCTTCTCATCATAGCTAATCCGCTTCATTTCCAGCAGTAGAGATGAGCAGGACTTGTTCACTAGTACATGGGTTCTTTCCCCTTGGGTCCTCTTAACTCTGGGACCCAATGTGCTAATGACCAGGGTGGTCCCAGCTGGACAAGCAACAACAAGCCACTTCTCACTTCTCGGACTTACCATGCGGTTTTAGCTGGTTACACTCCAGCAATACCCCAACAAAACCCTCTGGGATCCCCAAATTTGCTCTCCCCAACCAGCACCTACGTCTCTCTGGAAGTAGGTAACCAGGGTGTGTCACTCTGGGGAGAGAGTATGCGTTCTACTCCAGATACAAGGAGATTTCCTTCCATAAGTGGCTTACATATGTATGGAACCCTCAGTCTGGTTTTGATAGTGTGACATGTGTCAAACATCCAGCTGATCCAAAAAGATCCATGTATTAAACTAAGTTTCAACAATTCTTGGGTAGGTTGTTGGAATTTGTGCACGATATTGTATTCTCAGTGATGAGCGTTAAAAGGGAGCCTAAGCTCATGTGGCAGTTAGTGGAGCTGAGAGCAAGAACCAGGCCTAATAGTATGAAACTGCAGGCAGGCAACCGGCATCTGTCATCTTGAGAAGGATTCCTTTTCGGGGTGTGATGGCACGTCCCTCCCCCCCCCACCCCGTTCGCCACTCCCCTGTCCCGCCCGCCTGAGTACTTACTTCATCCAATTGGAATTGCGAGCGAAAGAGAGAGACTGATCTCAGAGAAGGAAGAGAAACATTGACTAAGCTCAGAGAGGAGAGAGAGAGAGAGAGACTTAGCTTGGAGAGGAGAGAGAGAATGAGTTCAGAGGTGAGAGAGTTGGATGAATTCTCTCTCTCTCTCTCCTAGAAAATGTGAGGGAAAGGAGAGAGAATGAGTTTGGAGAGTTTATGAGTCACTTTTACATCACAGGTGGAAATACCCAGCAGCTATTACCGCCTTTGCTATCTGATAGTATCTCTTATCTCCTACTGCTTGTCCACCTTGTACCGCTTCCTGGTCTTTATCATTGTTCCTCTGCACTCTTTTCTCTAAGTATTCCTTTCAAACTCCAACCATGTTCTTCCTCAAAATCAAGACACATTGCACAATGCCCTGAACCCTAGCCCCCCTCAGATCAACTTGTAGATCCTTATCCTTACTTTAATGCCTCTACGGCCTTTCCCCACCTACCTCAGCAAATCTCCTACTACCCCGTTCAGCAGTCACTCCCTCTGCCCACTCTGGTCTTATTCATGTCACCTGCCTGCCCAGTTTGCCCCAGCATTGAGCCTTCAGCAATGTTGCTCCTCTAGAACTCTCTTCTCAAATCCCTCCGCCTCTTCCTTTCAGCTTTCAAAACGTAACTAACAAATTCTGTGACTACAGCCATCTCCCCTATCTTTTCTGTCTCCCTCCCATCTCGGGCCTCTACTCAGCCCTTGTAAAACTCTTTGACGATTGTTGTTCTATCTCATTCTTTCCCAAGATCATAAGATTGTGCATCCATTTCTCCTCCCTCACTCTTCCCTTCCTTTTACTTTGTGAAGTCCTTCTTGAGAAAGATTAAAGGATCTCTTTGTAGCGGAGCTCACTTTAAGGTGATGTGCTAGGCTATGGCATGTCGGAATCGAGTGAACCATTTCAGTAGTTCATTTTCTGAGCCAGGCCGGTCCAGGGCAATGCTGATGACAGACAAGGCCAGTCTGGCTCATTGTTAGGACATTGAAGGACCCAGAGAGCAGGGATTCTTGCCACTCGGCTCCTGGTAACCCTACAAGCCAAAGCCCTTTTAGGTAGCTTGGTTGAAATGGGACAAGCAGTGAGAAACTACCCAGACAGCGCTCTAAATGGAAAACTATGTGTTTTCTGGTTCCCCATCCACCAGAGGATTGAGTTCAAGATCCTTTTCCTCACCTTTAAAGCTCTCCATGGTCTTACTCCTCCTTACCTCTACAACCAGTCCATTCCATTTCAACCATGTCTTCCGTTACCTAACCTCCTCCACAGATCTTGTCTTCCACCCCTCTCTGATCCCAACCTGCAGTTCAAATGCAAACCATGTACAAGTCACTCATTGTCCAGCGACTTGGGATATCCCTCCAATGTGAAAGGCACTATATAAATGCAATTGTTTGTTGGTGGTGGTTTTAGCTGTTTGAACTCCAGAAGTATCCCAATACACATTCTACTATCAGTAGTCTTTTAAAACTCAAAGTTGGCCTCACCTAACCATTATTGTATTTATCTCATCGTCTCTCCTAATTGTTTCAACCTTGCATCTAGTCTCCTTCATAAAGCTTTGGCTATGGAAAGATAATGGAAAGATAAGAATTGTATTGCGAGAGGACAAATGAAGATGAATGAAAAGATAACATTTTCTTTTTTAAAATATATTCAGCATCCGGCCAGGGCAGAGATCCAAGTGAGGGCCGAGGGCAAAGCGCTTGTTCTGGAAATCACAAGAAATGAGTGAGTACAATTATTTATCTCTATTTCGCAGGTGTAAGAATGATGATATTCCTGCTGGGTGTTAGCTTGGCTCAGTTGGTCGTACTGTCAGCTCTGGGTCAGAAAGATGTGGTTTCAAGCCTCACATTGCAACTTTGAATTCATACTTCAGGCTGACACCCAGTGAGGCATTGTGCAAGTGCTGCATTGGTCAAAGTGTCCTCCGTCAGATAAGACTGTAAACTAAGCTCCTCCTTGCTTGTTTATGATTAATAGAATCATAGAAATTTATAGCGTAGAAGGAGGACATTTGGCCCATTGAGTTTGCACCATGAAAGAGAAGGGAGTTTCTCCCATTGACCTCGCCAGAAAATCTCCCAATAAATTAGTCATTCACCTTATAGCTGTGTATAGGACCACAGTGTGTACAAAATGGATGCTGTGTTTGCCAATTAGACCCTTGGCAGTAATTCTCTTTGGAAGTGTCAGCATCATACTTATTGGGACGTGAATTTACTCTAACTTATCCTTGTCAATGTCACACCTCATGCAGACGGAATACCTGTCTCTGCCACATACACTTTAGGCCCGGCTTAAAGAAATCTGCTGATTTCGTAGTTCTAGAAGCCCACCAAGAGTGAGATAAAGTATGTCATTGGTCTGGCAGGTTTACATGGAGTTCTGTGTATGTGTATGGTTGCCACAATAGAAGGATTGGCTGTACAGGCCTCAGAAGAAGAGCAACAAGACCAATTCCCTGTGTTAGCTGCATGAGCAATGATTAGATAAGCTAAGTTTATTCAGCTTTGAAAAGCGATGTCTCAGAGGGAACCTTTGAAGGCTCGTATACCTCTTAATAGTTCCCTGGGAGACATTTCAGAAACAGTCTGATGTTGTAAGTGGAAATTGATAATACAGGTTAAAACTCAGTCTTTCTTTCTATTGGCCAGCGACAGTAACTTTTAGTTACTATCATCGACGCAAAATGGCAGCTTCCAGGATTGCCTTTGGGGACATGGATGCTGGTCTCAGTGAACTGCGAGGTTTACTTTGAGTGACTCTGGAGGTGGAATAGGGAAGGAGGAGAACTGGTAATCAGGCTGTATGAGTTAAATACAAAGTGCTTAATACAGAGTTGGCCCATAAAGCAATCTATTCAAGTCAGCAGCCAGAAAGAGCTTTTTTTTAAAAAAAAATGAATATCGAAACGTAGCAAAACAACGTCCTTGGGGGAAGGTATTCCTCCACCCACCACTCACACACACACACACGACACAGCCTTGGCACAATGGTGGAGTTTAAACTCTGGTTTGATGCCAAAAGTCAGCATTTATACACCACAGAAGAGGAAAAAAACTAAATTCAATTGTGTTCCTCCATCCTCCAGTAAAATCTGCCTTGAGGATGTCAGTTTCGAGTTTGCCCATTGTGTGAAATATCAAAAGATAGCATCCATTGGATTGGGCAAGGACACAGGTCATACTCCAGAGGGTGAATATGTATGAGGGCAGCCTGAGAGAATTAGTGAGTGGAAGACATTTTCATCACATGTTTCTTGTGATATTGTGATACATTGGACATTGCACCCCTTTAAGAGCTGTAGACATGTCCTTAAACTGCAAGCCAAAGGTCCAATGTGTAAAACAAGCTGACAGTACTTTGTCTCAAGTAAGATGGACGATCACAATTTGAGTGTGCAGCAATGCAGATTTGTAGAGCAAGGAATGGGTACAAATGGGGACTGGTTGGCAAAGTGATTCTTTAGTTGTTCTTAATCCCGAGAGAAAATATAAACTTATGAACCAGACAATTACACAAGAGCAATTAGTTGCTCAACCTAGAACTGAGGTCTCAGTGCAAGCTGCTTCAATCAGAGAGGGATGGAACCACAACAACAAAACAACAAAATTACATTTATAGAGCGCCTTTTACGTCGGGAGGGCATCCCAAGGTACTGGACAGTCAGGGGTCAGGACCTGAGCAATGGGGGAAGGGTGCTGTAGGGGTGAGGGAAGGCAGGAACCTCTTAAAGTAACTTGAGAGGAAGCGTACACTGTTCAAATAATTGAAAACTTGTGTCCAGGGTTTAACTTCAAGATTGAAATAATTTACTTTGCCTTTCCAGCAAGATGGAAGTGTTCCAAAATATTCTGGGAATCCATCTGTGTTGGACGAATCTTGTTGCCAAGATGGTTAATCTTTGTCTTTTAATCAAGCTTAAAGGAACAGTGTCATCAATAATTGCCTGTTGTAAATATTCTCAGTCTGAGGGTATTCTATTAAAGAGGTTGCTTTCTCCTTGAGAACTGTCATAGATAGCTTGAACTCCTGGGGAAATGCAGAACATGCTTACAACATTTAGAACTCTCTCTCTCCTTCTGTATGTGTGTGTGTTTCCATCTATTTTTTAAATCTATTCGCATTGCCTTTCTCTCTATCTTGTGGAGTCCTGTAGCTCAGTGGTTAGAGCACTCGCTTTGCAAGTGAGAGACCTGAGTTCAATTCCAGGCAGAGGGCGAAACCTTGGGCAAGTTTCCTTACTCCACACAGAGCCTAATAATAATCCCTCCAAAACCAAAAACAATAATAAATTGGTCACTTTCAATCTACGACTGTTTGTGGGACATTGCTGTGCGCAATTGGCTGCCGCGTTCGCCCACAAATATACAGTCAATTCACTTTACAGTGTGTTCTGTGAAGCGCTTTGGGACGTCCTCCCGACGTGAAAAGCGCTGTATCAAATGCAAGGATTATTATTATTATTATATCTGCCTGTCTGTCGGTCGGTCAGTCTGTTTGTCTCTCTCTTTATATTTCTCTACCTTTCTCCTACTGTCTGTGCATATGACTTTCTTTGGAACAGACTTTTTCCCCCAAAATGCCTTTAAAGAGGCAATGCCGTTTTTAGAACCATTTCTTTCTAGAGGAAAGATGTGGTGACATAATTTAATTAGAATACGCCATTGCATTCCAGGAGAGTGATGCCGTCATAATAGGAATGACAGACAGTTGTTTGGGCGTCCTCCCTCTCCTCAAAAAACCCAAAGATGTTTGTCCAGAACTTTATTGTGAAGACATTGGCCCTTTAAGGTGTCAGCCTGCTCAGTTGGTAGCATGTTTGCATCTGAAAGAGAAGGTTGTAGGTTTGAATCCCAACTTAGACTTTGAACTCACAGCCTAAGTTGCCATTTCAATGTAGTGCTGGGGCGATGCTGCATTATTGAGGTTGCGTTATTGCATTCCTGTCAGCCTGTTCAGGTGGCCATTAAAGATCCCATTGCAAAAGAGAAAGGAGTTTCTCCTCCTGGCCTGACCAGCAATCCCCCAGATAAAATTGGTCATTTACTTAATAATCCTTATGTTTCACTTTGTGGTTGGTTGTGGGATATTTCTGTGCTCAAATTGGCTTCCATTTTCATCTACAAAACACATTGTCACTGCAATTTATAGTAAATCCTGTGAAGCATTTTGAGACTTCCTCCCGATATGAAAATTGCTATGTCAAATTCAAGGATTATTGTTAATATTATCATTAAAGTACACTCCTTCAGTGGCCCAATAATAAATGTTGTCCCTCAAACCTGTTACATTGTCCATTAAATGTAGTCTTTCCTGGTAACATCTTCCACAAACATTTTCCAGTTTATAAATTAAAGACCTTGCAACTAATTTCCTAAGTTTAAAACTCTACTTTCTTGTTGCATTGTGTGACCCTTTGTAATGGTTTGCTTTAAAAATCTTGGTGGTTTCTTTGCAAAGCTGTATGGATCAACTTACAAATCACTTTAAGCCTTTGTAATGGAGACTAATGGACCAGAACATGAATTATTCAGCAGCCAGTTAGGGAAAGCACCTTTCCCCTTTGATCTCTCTATGACTTATTGAAAACAGTTTGAAAATCTATTATCTACTGTACCATTTGATGGGGGTCAAAGTATGGTATTCCTAAACACATTCCATTCATTATTTAAGAAGCAAGTTTAAAGTCTGTTTTGAAGCTTTCCCTGCATCTGACAGCCAATAGCATGAAAACCAGCCCTGGGCACTGCCTTCTTGGATTCATGTTTATTGAGGATCATTTATGAGAGTTGAAGAGCAGCCTTTCTGAGATGATTCACTGGGTACAGAAGTAACTCAATCTGATTTAGAGCAATATATCCTCTGAATAAGTTCAGAAAGGCTGTTTTCCACACGCGCAAATGGTAACCCAAATCATGGAAATCACCAGGTCCAAACACATTCATTCCAGTATTCAACAATAACAACAATAGCAACAGGAATTTCTATAGTGCCCTTCATGCAGGGTAGTGTCTCGGAGCACTAAATAATGGTATTGTTTGACTTTGAGGTAGGGAGAAGGGGGTGGAGACTATTGGGACTGTCAAAGAGGAAAGTCTTTAGGTGAGATATGAAGAGAGGTGAAGAGGGGGCGAGCTGGAGGGACTGAGGCAGGGAGTTCCTGAGATTCAGGATATAGTGGCTGAAGGCATGGCCACCAATGTTGGAGAGGAGAAGTTGGAAGATACGCAGAAGGCCTGAGGCAGATGAGCTGGGGAGTGTAGTGTGAGAGATAGGAAATGGTAGGTCATTGTTGACAGTAAGTCACAGTGATCTGGGGGAACTTTGCTCCAATTCAGCCTTCTTTCCAAACGCAATTTCTCCTTGTCGGTGGGAACCAGCTTCAATTGTTGTCTTGTTATTCCAAAAAAAGGGATCTCTGGCTGATTTTCCTAATTCCCAGACCAGGGGTCAAATTGAGCTGTCATCATGGCTGAAATTAACTAACTGAGCATAGTGCTGTCGTAAAAATGTCAAACAAAACATTTTCATTTGACTAATTCGATGCTTTCTAGAAAAATTGTTAAGCTTGTAGAATTCAAATGTTAACTAATTCCACACAGAGCAAAAGTTCAGTGCTAAAATGAGAATAAATCAGGAATAAAATGGGAATAAGTACATTCTTGGCAAGGACTGTGAGCTGTTGGCTGCTGGCACTGGGAAGTGATGGTGTGTTGGTGATG